TACCAGAAGTTCAAGTTGGATTCAGGTGAGGACATGGAACAAGGGATATAATTGCTAATGTCAGATGGATCCTGGTTGAAAGCAGAGAATACCAGAAAGATATTCACCTGTGCTTTACTGACTATGCAAATTCTTTCAACTGTGTGGATTATGATAAACTATGGACAACACTGCAGAGAATGAGTACTCCGGAAACTTAACTGTACTCATGAGGAACCTGTACACAGACCAAGAGGCAGATGTTCAAAGAGACAAAGGAACACCGATTGGTTTAAAACTAGGAAAGGTGTGCACCAGGGATGTATTCTTTCACCATACTTCATCAGTATGGTGAGCAAATAATTGGAGAAGCTGGATTATATGAAGAAAAACTTGGCATCAGGATTGGAGGAAGAATCATTAACCATGTGACATATGCAGATGATACAACCTTGCTTGCTGAAAGTTAAGAGGAGTTAAAATACTTGCTGATGAAGATCAAAGACCACAGCCTTCAGTACAGGTCATACCTCAATGTAAAGAAAACAGAAATCTTCACCACTGGACCAATAAACAGCATCCACATAATTGAAGAAAAGAGTAAAGCTGTCAAAGGCTTCATTTTGCTTGGATCAACCATCAACACTCATGGAAGCAACAGTCAAGAAATCAAATGAAGTATTGCATTAGGCAAATCTGCTGCCAAGACCTCTTTGAAGTGTTCAAATGTAAAAATGTCAGTTTGAGGACTAAGGTGTACCTGACTCAATCATGGTATTTTCAACCTCATGTAAATGTGGAAATTGGAATGTGAATAAGGAAGAACACAGAAGAATTGATGCATTTGAGTTATGGTGCTGAAGGAGAATATTAAAAGTACCATGGACCACCAGAAGAACAAACAAATCTGTGTTGGAAGAAATTCGTCTCTCATACATTGGACATATTATCAGGAGAGACCAGTCCCTGGAGAAGGACAACATGCTTGGTAAAGTGGAAGGGCAACGAAAAACAGGAAGACCCCTAAGGAGAAGGGCTGGCACAGTAGCAGCAGCAATGAGAGTGGGCACAGGACCGGGCAGTATTTCATTCTGTTGTGCATAAGGTTGCCATGAGTCAGTACCAACTCAACAATACCTAACAGCGACAACAACAAGAAAAAAAATAAGTAACAGAACTCCAATTCTTCAAAAGTCTAGATTCAATAGTCGGGAAGCAAGGGTGAGAAGATAACAGCACAGGGAAACTAGAGTACTAAAAATGGTACAACCAGAACAGAATGAATGAGCTTAATAATGACACATTGTGAAAAATGTAACCTACATCACTAAATAATTGGTATAGAAACTGTTAAAAAGGAAATAAATTTGTGTAAACTTTCACACAATTGTTGTTGTTGTTAAGTGCCATCGAGTCGGTTCCAACCCATAGCCACCCTGTACAGGGTTTCCAAGGCTGTAAATCCTTACAGGAACAGAAAGCCGGTAGTTTTGATCTGCTGACCATAAGGTTAGCAGCCCGATTCATAACCACTATGCAACCAGAGCTCCTTTTAGACACAATAATATATTATTTAAGAAAAGGGATATCTATAAAAAGGAATTATTTATGCACAACATGCCCTAAGATAAAAAAGAACGTAACAAATTTAATAGATTATCCCAAGACTATGGCCCTAAGACACCCTGTTGGTTTGGAACTGAAGCGATTACTGGAGACCACCTTTCAGATAAATAACAGGCACCTAAAATAAACATCCCGAGAGGAATGTGCTTCTTAGAATAGTCAATTATACAAGATCAAAAGGACAACATTTATCTAAAACAAAGATGAGAAGGCAGGAATGGGTAGACAATTTGCACGAAAGGAAACAAGAAAACCTGGGTGGAACGTGGTAGAGTGCTGACACATAGTGGGGAATGTAACCAATGTCATGGAATACATCATATAAAACTATCGAATGGGAAATTTTGTTCTGTAAACTTTCAACTAAAGCACAATAAAAATTTTAAATAGAGAACAGTTAACATACAAAGCACATTTTCAAGCCATAACAAAATTAAACTGAAATTCAATAAAATAAAAAATCTGTAAAATCCACAAATATTAACAAATAAACAGATTTACTGGACTGAAAGAGATTAAAGGAATCCCTATGACCAGTGCCCTGAGATGCCCTTTAAACTTTGACTGAAACCACAGCCACAGGTCACCTTTCAGTTAAATAACAGAGTGGTTCATAAAATAAAAAAAGTAACAACATGAGTGCTGTGCTCCTTTAAAAAACGTCTACATGGGACCAAACAATTAGCAAAGAGGAGATAGTAAGGGAGGAGACAGGGAAGCTGGATTAATACAAACAGAACAACCAGAACAAAAGCAATGAAAAAGTAGCCAAACTGTGAAAAACGTAGCCACTATCACCAAACAACCTATATGGTGGTGGTGGTTGTGTGGCGTTGAGTCAGTTCTGAATCATAGCGACCGTGTATAGGGTTTTCGAGGCTGTCAATCCTTATGGGAGCAGAAAGGCTCATCTTCCTCCTGTGGAATGACAGGGACCAACTGCCCTTGCTGTTAACAAGCAGCCCTCATCAAAATCAACTATTCTAGTGAGGGCTCCCATAAAATCTCTTCCGTAAAAAGAGAAAGCACTATGCTACTTATTTGGTGTGCCACTAGGATAAGCACTGGACTGCTAACCACAAGGACTGTGGTTAGACTAACCAGTTGCTCCTCAGAAACCCTGTACAGAGTTGTTAAGAGCCAGAATCAACTCAACTGCACTTAACAACAACTTCTTTCATGAGGTCAGCATTTCCTAATAATAAAACCAGACAAAAATTTTACAAGAAAACAAACTAAAGACCAGTATCACATAAACACAGATGCAAAAAATTCTTACCGGTGTATTAGCTATAGAGTATGTAAAGTAAAACAAACTTACAAGACTGAAAATAGGGAACCAGAGATATCAATGTACAATGCAGTCAACTACAAAGCAAAAGTCCTGGTGTGGCACTGTGGGCTAATGAATGCATCAGACTGCAAAGTCATTTGAACTGCAAGGTCAGTCGTTCAAGCTCACCAGCTTCTCCTTGGAAACCCTATACAGGGTTGCTATGGGTCAAAATCGACTTGCCGGCACTTAACAACAACAATAACAACAAAGCAAAAAGAGGGAAGAGTACAGATATAGAAGTTCTAAATAGCAAGGTTAAGTCACGTAGATTTCAAGATAAATAGATTGTCTCGAACAGGGACAAAATAAATAAATTATAGGGTAACCTCAAAGAAAAATTATATACCTGCACAATAATATATCAAAATAAAAGAGGGAAAATCTGAAAGATTTAGTAAACATTAACACAACAGAAATGAAAATGAAAACAAAATTAATTCAGCATAGAAAATATGTGGAACAAAGAATCCAGCAGCACCACAAAAATACACACAGAAAAATGACAGCAATGAATTCATACCTACTGTAATTACATTGAATGTAAATGGATTAAACGTACCAGTCAGGAGGCAGAGTGCAGAATAGATAAGAAAACTGGATCCTTCAATATGCTGTCTACAAGAGACATATCAAAAAGATGGAGACAGCCTAAATGCTCATCAAAAGAAGAATGTTTAAACAATATCTGGTACACATACACAGTGTTGCTGCTGTTGTTAACTGCTGTCTAGTCAGTTTCGACACATAGCAACCCTGTATAGGGTTTCCTAGGAGCGACTGGTGAGCTTGAACCACCAACCTTGCAGTTTTAATCAACTTCGGAATACTAAAAAACGTTGAAGAATAATGATGAATCTCTTAAAACACTTCAGAACATAGTTGAATCTGAAGTATATTATGCTGAGTGAAATTAGTCAATCACAAAATGGCAAGTATTGTATGAGACCAATGTAAAAAGTTAAGAAAAGGTTTTCTTGGTAAAAAGAAACCATCTGTGATGGTTGGGGGTGGAGAGAAGGAAAATTTTTCATGGGTTAGGCACATGTTAACATGGGTACCAGGTAGGCAATACACAAGAGGAAAGCTAGCAGGGGATAGATAAAAGGTAGTGGGAGACACACAGGCAGGAAATGAAACACTAAAGTGAACAGAGGTAAATACTGTTAATTGTTGGTGCATTTAGGGGATTGCAACCATGTAATGAAGCAAAGTATATAGATGTAAAGCTGATGATCTGCTCTGTAAACCTTGACTCAATTCATAATAAAAAGTTGAAGAAAAAGAAAGAAAAAAAAAAATCAGTATCTACTCATGATAAAAGACTTAAAGTAGGAATAGAAGGGTACTTTCTTAACCAAATAAAGGTTATGGCGTGGTGCTGTAGGATCAGCACCAGACTGCAAACCACAAGGTTGGCAGTTCAAACCCAGCAGCAGCTCCTTGGAAACCCTAAAGGGGCGCTATAAGTCGGAACCGACTCTATGGCACGTAACAACAAATGGAGTCTTGGTGCTATAATTTAATCACTAGATTGCTAACTTCAAGGCTAGCAGTTCAAACTCACCAGCAACTCCTCGGGTCACTGTGAGTCAGAACCTACTTAATGGCACTTAAAAACACATAAAACGAAACAAAAGGTTACCCTGAAGGAGTTGAGAATGAATTGGAGAGGGCAAGAGTGAAAAAGTGGAAATATTCCATACAAAGCATTCCCAAATGATGCAGTTGCCTTTCACTCTTTCTTCCTCCAGTCTTATTTCATACTTCACTCACTAAATCTCCCCTTACTTCACTCCCAAATTTCACCATACAACAGATGATAGGTTAAAAAGAAATCCAGCTTTTATGACTTAAGTGTACATCCTGGTATTTCATTAGAAACTTTCAAGGCAACTGCTACATAAAACATTGCTTCTAAAGAATACATTATTATTTGTTCTAGCAGATTCTATGAAATGTTTTTGTATATAAACTAGGTCAGACCATAGCTATAGAACTACAATAAAACATATATACACAACACAGCCACCACCAATTCCCCAAAATTTTTTTAACTGACCTTAAAATTTGGAGAAAAGTATCGGTTGGCCTTGTCTTTATTTGCCTTGTCAAGATCATTTTTTGTTAAAGTAAGTACTAGATATTCCTTGTCATTATCTGCACGCTCTATACTGCAAATACTATCAATTTCTTGATCACCTACACATCCATTTTCTACTTTTTCTGAGGTTTCCTCTGGTCCTGGTATGAAAAATGTATTTACCCAAAAGTGAAACATTTTATCCTAAAAGAAAAGAAAGAAAAGAAATGAACCACCAAGAAGTCAACAACAGAAAAGATTTTCTTTTTCTTATTTGATATCATGATTAAAGGTAAACACACAGACTAATATTTGCCATCTGTAAATTATCTGTTGCATCCTCATTCACACTTACTTTTCTTTTATTCAAATTGTAGACAGAAAATATCATTCCTAAAGTTCTAAGATAACTTATTCTTGTCTCAAACCTTAAGTAAAACATCTCCTTCCTAGCTTTAAAAAATGGTTTAGTTTATGTGTATGTACATTACGAGATGTTATTCCAAGACATTAACAAAATCTTTTAGAAGGTCAACATAACTTTCTGATGTCAGGAGTGCTGCAAATATACTTCTACAGCAATACTGTTATTTACACAGCACTTATATGTTTGAAAACTTTCATAATAAAATACTAGAGGGAGAGTACTTCTCATCTTTTAAATACTACAAAATATCTTTAAAAATCACTAAAGCGCATCACTTCAAAGCTTTCTTCAAACCAAAGTAAAATATGATTTTTCTCTTTTCATAATTACTGGAATTCCACCTGTACTGATCATTTGACAAGAATATATACAGTGTCTTCATATCTTATCTGCTATTTTAAACTATTTAAATCTTTTATTCTAATTTGGCTCCACGTTTTATTCTCTTCAGATGATAAGACCCTTAAGAATTTTATAACATAAATTCCTAGCAAAGCAATCTCATATATGACAAGTTTTGAAAATAAATATGTCAATTTTAATTATCTTAGCCAAATCATTGAAGTAGTAACTATAAACATACCAAAGAGGGCTTCAAAAACTTTGTGGGAAAATTCCACTACCTTTTAACTCCGTTTTTCCATGAACTTTATAGATCCCCTATATATTAGAGCCAGAAGTAAACAAGCTAACTTTTAAATTTCCAAGTATTCCTCAAATTTATTGATTATGCTAAAAATTTTTGTTGGCTTAAATCACAGTATATATTTGCTAAAAGGAGGGGAAATCATATACAATTCCCAATTTATATTAAAAAAATCCAAGATACACAAATATATTAGAATTACTTGATGTGTTCATTTTATTTGTACTAATGTAATAAATATATCTGACTCCTGGTGGGGAGCTCTAGGATAAGCACTGAATTGCATCAAGTGATTCAAATTCACCAGACATTCCCAGGAAACCCTAGACAGGATGGCTAGGAACTGGAATCAACTCAACGGCACTTAAGAACAGCAGTAACAGTAATGTAAGGTTGCTCCTTGAAGCAGGGCTGTTATGAATCAATGGCACTTAACAACAACAACAATGTAATACACTGATGATCCCCACTGTCATCCAGCCAGTTCTCACTCATAATGACCCTATTTCCAAGTATAAATCTGTGGGAGCAAGACAATCTCAGGTTTCTCCCACAGAGTGGCTGTCAAGTTTGAACTGCTGACCTTGTGATTAGCTTAACTTACTGTGCCATCAGGGCTCCTTGTATAGATAAGAACTGATAATGATAAAGATTCATATACTCATGGAGATAAAGATCATTAGCTATACAAGTGCTTATTTTCATGAGCCGGAGACTTATAAACAAGGTAAGAAAAATCCAAAACACTAGTTATTTCAGTTCTAACATGTTAGTGCTTCTTAGAACTTCAAAAAATTATTTTTCAAGGTTAATGAAATATATGTTTCACTTTAACTGATAAAAAGGAGGCAGGAAATAAGTTTTTGTGAAAACATTTTGTGATTGTCTAACTCCTTATATTCTGGGTAAAAGAAATTCTATTTCTTCCAAAAATAAAACACAAATTTTGTGTATTGAATGAAGTTTCTGATTTTCTTACAAAATAAAAAGCAAAATGGTTAAGAATATGAAATTAACTCTATTACTAGTAGGATGTCAAAACTCAATTGATTATAACTAACTATCTAATATGTTTAACAAGGCAGTTAACACATAAAGCTAGTGCCTTTATTCATTACTATCTAAAAAACTTACCCGTAGTGTCACCTTAAATGTTCACACTTAATATTTTAAACCAGGATTGTTTTAAAATGAGCTCTTCTATTCTCTAAATTTAGCTCTGTAAAATGCAAACCTCATCAATTTCCTAAACCTGCATATTTAAATACAGTCAGTCTCCCGGTGTTCCTAAATGTGTCTTTAGGGAAGCCAGAACAAGTGCATTTGGTTCATATTTAAGCTCTTGTTGTTGTTGTTAAGTGCCATCAAGTCGGTTCCGACCCATAGTAACCCTGTAAAGGATTTCCAACCTTTTGGTTCAAACGACTTTGCAGTCCAGCATATTAGCCCACAACACTACACCAGGACTCCATTTAAGCTCTTGTTGTTGTTAAGTGCTGTCAAGTCGGTTCCGACCCATAGCGACCCTGTACAAGATTTCCAAGGGTGTAAATCCTTACGGGAGTAGAAAGCCTCATCTTTCTCCCGCGGAGCTGCTGGTAGTTTAGAACTGCTGACCTTCAGGTTCGCAGCCCGATTCGTAACCACTACGCTACCAGAGCTCCTTAGGCTACCTTTAATATACGAAGTAGCAAATGAAGGTGTCTGTAATGAATAATGTGAATATGGGGTTGATTGGCTCAAGCATTTAAAAATGAGAGCAAATTGATACATAACAAAAGGCAAGTAGGAGTTGTTCATAAATCAGACAACAGACTGCCTGTATACCACATATTTTTCATGAGTACTTCTTCATACGAATTCTCTCCTACCTAAAAAACTAAATATTCAGTAAATGTTGGGAAACTAAATATAAATTAGGAACAAAGTGGCTCCATTTGATAAGTTGTTGTTGTTGTTAAGTGCCATCGAGTCGGTTCCGACCCATAGCACATTCGATAAGTACTGGACTACAAATCACAAGTGCTACAGTTCAAGCCACCAGCCACTCTACAAGAGAAAGATGTGGCTTTCTGATCCTGCAAAGATCTAAAGCCTCAAAAACCCTAACCAGGGTCGCTATGAGTCGGAATTGACTTGTTAACACTTACAGAGTCCTACTGTGGTGTTGTAGGATAAGCACTGAACTGCTAATCGAAAGGTGAGTGCTTCAAACCCACCAGCCTCTCCTTGGAAACCCTATACAGACTCAGTATGAGTTGGCACTAAATCAACAACAACAAATATAAAATGGCCACAAAAAACCTAGCTTGTATCATTACACAAATCATGGACAGATTTTATTTCTACTTGTAGATTTTCTTTTATTTTAATGCATGGCTCCATGCCTGCTTCTTCTCAACCACCGTTTCTAAGAGGATTCTAACTGACTGAATAGGGTTCTTTGTTATTTTAACATTTTTACAAACTGTATTTTTTATAACCAAAGTAAAGGACAATTAATTTCAAATTTCAATTACATAGGCCTTTTCCTTCTAAAATAACTTTTACTACTATGTTTTATCAATGTCACAATAAGCAATGCATTAGCAGATCTAATAGAAAATTATAACTCATTAAACAAACGTCTGTCATAAAATAAAATAAATCTTTTATTTTCTCCTTACCCTAACCAAACACTTTTTAAACAAGATATCGGAGGCTTCTCTTCAAAGCATGACAGTTTAGATATTTCTTCAATGAAAGTAAAATGCAAACCTTTTTTAGCATCTTATTCTGTTTGTGGAAGAACTCTACTTTGATGTCACCACACACAGGCAATGGCTGAGGGAATTCAAAGTACATGAACTTGTCTTCCCGTCGTGTGGGTCCTGTTGTGGAGGAATATATCTTCACCTTGAGTTGGCAGACCACAAACTGAGGATCTGCATGGTTAAATACGTATTAGTGTCATTTTACAAGAAATGCCTCTAAGTGCCAAACTATCAAAAACCACTTTAATCATCAACATTGATAAACAAAATGGCAATATTGCTTCTGTAATTTTGATTAGCAACAATTAAATGGATATAAATTAGATTTTAAAAATATCATTAATCCAAAGCACTGTTACTGGAAGTCAATTCTACTTCATAAAAAAAAAGAAATTCCCAAGATTAGTCTTCTAGCAGTATGATACCAACATTCGACATTAAAATGACATTAGAACCCGGAAATAATTTAAGCATTAAAATGCTAAAATGATTTCTTGATATATTCATGAACTATATAAAAGGTAACTTTTTATACAGATATTTTGCTATAGTATTTTAAAGCCTCTATGCAACGTCGACGGTTAAAGCTCACCAACTGCTCCCTGGAAACCCTATACAGGGTCTCTATGGGTCAGAATTGACTTCATGGCACTTAACCAACAGCAACAACAACCATGTAACAAAACTCACAAAATAAAATCATTACATGTCCGCAAGAATATAGGCTATAATAAAGTTATAAATTCCATAAGACAAAATCTAAATATTAAAGAATAAACCACTATTAGCCTGTTTGCATCCAGTCAGTTCTAAATCATAGTGACCCCCATGATGAGTTAGAACAGAACTCAATTAAGATCTTCATTGGCTAATTATTCAGAAGCAGATTGCCAGACCTTTATACTGAAGCATTTCCTGGGTAAACTCCATTTCATTAACAATTATTTTGGCTACAATTCATGTCTACTTTAAAATAATTGGCAAAATATGGCTTTTCAAAATTCATCATGCTTTAATATTAACGATTCAACTAAAAGCGTAGATAAAGGGGGACTTCAATAAGTTCTTAGGCAAATTCCATTATCTTTCGATTCCTCTTGACAAACTTTTTGAAACTCCCGCATAAATAATTGGAATGTTTCATTTTTAAAATTTATTCAGAAGTACATTTATACCTAACAATATTAAAGACAGAAACATGTTTAAAGACTTATGAACGTTAAAATTCTAGGACTTTAAAAACTTTTGAAGTTACCAAATAATGTGACAAAGTAAAATTTATTTGTAGTACATTGAGGAGGAGTTCAAAAACTCAGAGGAGGTAAGAAATGAATCTTGAATAAAGCATACCAAGACAATCAAGAAACAGAAAAACTAGCATGCATAAAATATGAGAAATATGTGTATGTATCAAAAATACATTTCATTCTCAGTAACAAAAGAGTCATGTTTAGAGAGGAGCATGCTTCATATTCTTTATCAACATGACCAACAACTGAGAATCAGTCATAAAGCTAACGCAAACTAAATGAAATGTCTACTTTAATAAATTCTACTAGTTGCAGTGGACCACAAGGTTGGTTTGAACTGGAAGGCCAGCAGTTTAAACCCACCAGTCGCTCCTCAGAAACCCTTTGGTCTCTACAAGTAGGAAACGACTCGAAGGCACTTAACAACAGCTTATCTATACAATATCTAAAGACGTATCAGTAATCATATAACAAATAGTGTATTTGATAAAAATACGTGGGGTTATTCTAACAGATTTCAGACCTCTATCATAATAAAGGAGTCCTGGTGTAGCACTGTGGGATAATGCACTGGACCAAAAGGTCGGTTTGAACCACAAGGTAGTGGGTCAACTCTTCAGCAGCTCCTTGGAAACTCTACACAGGGTCACTGAGTCGGACCCGACTCAAAAGCACTTTATAACATCATTATAAAATGTTATCCCCAACAAAAAGGAAATGTTAAACCAATGAACTGTTAATAAATTCCACTTTCTTGACTAAAGATTCAAAGTATAATGAGCCATTTTGTAAGACTTTATGTGATCCTGAAAATTTCCCTAGGAAATATAACGGCTAAATACAAAATAGAATCACACACACAAGTCTAATTTCAAAGATGTAATACAATTAATCAAGATGAAAATGTCTTGTAATCTTATTAATTCAAGCTCTGCTAAGAATCTGATAATCCTGATTTTATGTATATACCAAGCAAATTAACAGCATAAACCAAATTCCAATTAAACAATATCTAAAAAGCATACCTTCAAGAATTTTGGAACTGCATAAACAATCCATAAACTAATTGCAAAGTAGTCCTTAGAATTCCTACCCTATTAAAACACTAAGTTAAAAGTATTTAAATAGAAATAAATAGCAAAGATGTTCTCAAAATACTAAAGAAAATTATTTTCTTTAGAATTTTCACATTGTACAAATATCAGACTTATCAAAAGCATGCTCCTGTTGACCTCTAGGACAGAATTATGACAAATATCATATGATACTGTTTTTTGTGGGGGGTTTTCCTCCAACAATGACAACCCTAGTAGAAAAATGGAATTAAAAGAGTATGAAATTTTTTCATGAACTTTTAGATGCCCCCTCATACACACATTGATATAGTCTTGAGAGGAAAATCACATATTTTATTAACATTTAATAAACCTTATATATACACAGCATATACTAACCTAGCCTTCATTTAGAAATAGTAAGATAATAATCAATTAAGGAAAAGGTTGTTGTATAATTTTGCAAAAGATACTGTTTTTTCATCATTAATTCTGCTGTCTTCACTGATTTCTCTTCTTGCCTTACTTCTCAACCTTTACTTCTCTCCAAGATCTCCCATTCCTTACACTCATACCATATTTATATGAAAGGTTTAACTTAACTATGTCTCTTTACTGTTGCTTATCAAAACATCAGATAGGCCTCTCAGCTAAGATTCAAACCCATACTTTTAAGTACCAATTAAACACTTTCATGTGAATAATCCACCTTCACTTGATTTAAACATTTTTAAAACCAAAATAACATTCATTTCCCAAAGTTTTAGTTAGCTCCACTTTCCTTTATGTTTTTGTTAATATTTCACCTGACCAGAACCCACATTTTGAGAAATCTTTGGCTACAAATGTCAAAAGAAAAACTAATCAAAATCTCCACTTGATTGTTCCACCATATTTAGCTTAAAGCAAGTCACAAAACTGGCTTCCTTTCCCACTAATTTTTTCTGTCTACATCACTTTCTACACAACTATCTTTAAATGTGATCTAAGCCTCTAGTACTGACCTGGCAGTATTTCTCAAAATCAAGTCCAACATCCCATTCCCACCATGCAGAGTCCTCGAACACTCTACTCCCTAGTCTATTCTCTATTAACCACTTTTCTGTCAGCTGATTTCCTTCTGCTGTGCTTCAATTCAAGCTATTTCCTATGGCCTGTAATACTTCTCCTTCAGTTTTAATGCTAGTCTTATAAAGTATATGCTTTCTCCAAAGTTCAAAAAAGACCTAGACTTCCATCATAAGCCATTTGACAACCTCCAAAACTTTTAATTTTCTGAATATAACGCTAATAATTTACACAAAGGGGTTTCAAAGTTTGTGGAAAATTAAAAGATAATGAAAAATGTCTACAAACTTTTTGAAGTCCCCATGTACATACAAGCTCCCATGTGACTGTATATTATTGGTTTTATAATGCAGCTTTACTAGTATTAAACCACAGTATATAAACAAGGAAAAAGAAAATGAGAAAAGATTATATAGATTTTACTAGTCAATTTTAAGACTAGAAGTTTAAATGTAATACAGAGAAATCTATTTTTTTTTAACGTTTTAAAGGTAGGCAAGCAGGGCAGCACTGATAGACATTTTCGCTAGATATGACTGCTAAATCAAATATTCTTTCTCACCTATAATCTCCATAAGACTGTCTGTCTTTCCTTCAGGCAGAGTGTGTTTTTCCCCCTTTCTATTTTTTGTCAAATTTGTCAAGTCCCATGTCAAACATCTCCAAGAGTTCAGTTTCTCAAAATATACTAACATAACAAAAGCATCAATAAAACTATTTAGCACACTTTGACATGCTATATTAAATAAGTCTCTGATCTTTGATAAAGTGGTCTTGCTCTAAGAATAAAGGATAGATTTTACGAAGCTAAACATACCTATCTGATGAAGATAAACATAAAATAAATCATTTCTAGGCATGAATTAATTCAGCAATAAGAAAAATTTAGTTACATAAAGTATCTTCAAGAATCAAAATTTAAGGCAAACGAAAACTACTAACAAACTTGCAAAGTCTCACTAAAATAGTTTTATTGGTGGTGATGGTTGTGTGCCATTGAGTTGGTTCTGACTCATAGCAACAGCAAACCTGTCTAGGGTTTCTGAGGCTGTAAATCGTTATGGGAGCAGAAACCCTCATGTGTTTCCTGAGGAACAACTAGTAGATTTGAACTGCTGACCTTGCAGTTAGCAGCCCAGATCATAATCCACTACACTTCCAGGGCTCCTTAGATATTATTAGAGATATTAAAAGAAATAATGTATCCAAAAATGTAAAACTGTACACTAAATACTAATACATGTTTCTGAAACATCAAAGTGTGAGTGAACATTTCCAAGGTAGAGATCAGGATGGCTGAGGTGGGCTATTAAGAAAGAAAAATAAACTAGAGGAAGTCCTCAGTAACATTATCTCCACTAAGTACATATCTAAAAAGTTTCAGATTTATAGAGAAACAGAGACAGGCAGATGATGTGTCTAGGGTTACATAGTATTAAATGCTAGATAAAGGACTTAATCCAGGCTCTCCTAATATTCCATATGCTTTGATTAAATCTCATTTTATTTCAGTTTGCCAGTGTCTCATCATTTCTTCCTTTCCTTTTTAATGCCACTGTCAGCATTATTACCAATTACAAGTCTTCCTAAAATAACAGAAACTGGTCCTGTAAGGAAAAAAAAAAAAGAAAGAAGAAAGAAACTGATCCTTGACCCAATACTAGTAATTTGGTGAGTCCTATTGCTACTCTCATGATAGACCTCTGATGAAACTGAGTTTTTAGCTATCTGTTCAGAAATTTAGGCCACATTTAGTGGTTGTAGCTAACCATATTTCTTTCTTAAACATAACCTGGCTTCAAAGACATGAAAACCCACTACACTCCTGGCCTTGTGTGTTAAAAACTTGATCTAGTTATTTAAAATTTAAAATATAGTATAAATTTCAAATGAGTTTTATATAAACATCTGGTATGTTACAAAAAAGTGTTCTAACACCTATGAGGATGATAATTTACAGCACTTACTGCAAGTTCCGCCACTGAACATTGGAATAGTTTCAAACATCATCTTGTGAAACAACAGTGCCACTGGTCTATAATCCAGATGATTCTTTAACAGGTAGCTATAATAATACACATAGCGCCTCTGACTGGGAATAGTTACTCCCTGGTGAACAGAAAAAAAGAAAGCCAAATTCAAAAGAAAAGTTCCATTAGTTATTTCAATAAATTGCTATTGTTAATAAGTTGAATCCACTGAAGAACACATATACATTAGAAATGTGACTTTAAATGATTAACAGTTAAATCCAGCTCAATGAAAGAATACATCATAGCAATTTCAATACAAAGGAAAATAACAGATTAACTTTTTCCCTTAAAATGCAATTTTCATAACACCCCTCTTATTCAATGATGACAATGACGTACTGATCCATGAACACAATAAAGGCCACTGTAGATCTAAAACAACTGTCAAAGGCCTCTGCACTAAAGCTGTGCGCCTACCTAACTCTTAGGATTCTCCCATCAGGATGTGTGGACTTGCATCATACACAAAAAGCCTCACAAGTTTGGCTGCTTTATTTTACAAGCAAGAAAATATACTCTTGTGAATTGGAAGTGACTTGACAGAACAACAATAGTGGTACAACACATGAAATGTTTCTCTTTATCTCCATTCTTGGTATAAGTAGGCTATCAATAATTAAAAGGTTTCAAAGTCTTATTTTTGTTAGAGTATAAAGTGGTTGGTAATATATCACTAATGTAATCGTTATTCATTTAGTTAATCCTTACACTAAAATGGGCTAAGCAAATGTCCAGAGAAAGAATGTATGAATCTGCAAGCTATCTACAGTAAGCAAATAATTTGTGTGTAAGTATCAGCTGAACCATATAAATTAAAAGTATCAAAGCAAAAAATATTGATACAATTCAAAGAAAAACAATTTTAAAAGCATGGATGTAATTTACTGTCAAGTTATGCGTATTTAGAGGTTTTTACATCTTAACTTTACAATTATCTTATACTACCTGTTACCTTGTCAGCACCTCAAATGCAACGTCTAGGCTAACAGAAATAAAGTAGTTGGAAAGTCCATAGGTAAATAAATGTACCACTGGCCTTGAATGTGTCTTCTTCACTATAGTCTCATCTCTCATGGCCAGGACAAACATTTACTAAAATTTAATACAGTAAAATCTTCAAAAGCCAGAATCTGTGTAAGGCAGAAACCTGTCAGAGAAGGAAAACTCAAATATGTTCCACTAAAGCAAGTGATAGACAGTAAGACTACACCCTGTCAAAGACAGAAAATTTGTGAGACCCAGGAAAACAAGGCAATCCCATGTTCCAGCTCTCCCGGGTTTTACTGTATAATGATCCATCCTGTTGGCAACAATTTGAAATAAAGCAAGTAAAATTTCCACATTAAATTGACAATGTAATTAATAATACCTTAAATCTGTTTTCTGAATACATACAATGAAAATAATATATAATTCGCATTGTTTACTTATATAACATTTTGAACATGAAGATTTAATGTAAAATATCTTTTTAAAATCTAAGAAACTTAATTTTATTCATCTTCAAAAACGTATTTTATATGTTTAATAAAGAGGGCTGAACTTTAAAACTCTGGAGATTAAAAATATTACATGCTTCCAAACTTTCTATTTTTCAACTTAAATTAAGAGCACTAAACATTATACTTTGACTATTTAAACAAGATTTTAAGTTAAATTGGCCCTGATGTGCCATGGATTACTAGCTGGGTTGCTAATCGCAAGGCCAGCAGTTAGAATCTATCAGTTGCTCTGTGGAGAAAAATGAAGCTTTCTGGTCCCATAAAGATTTAGTGTCGGAAATCCTATACAAACAGAGTCACTACGAATCAGAAGTGACTCAGTGGCGGCACACAAGCACAAACCAACCCTAACTATCTACTCAAAGAACTCTCTCCTAACTCTTCGTTTCCACTCTACTAGTGAAGAAAACTCTTATGTGTTTCTCAAATACAATTTTCAACACATCCTAATTTTAACTAAACTTAGGCACTCTTACATTAAATTAGTACTACATCCTTCGCCATCAACTCAAAAAGCAGCCATTGTTTCTTCACTTTCCTTATGCTCAAAACCAGGAGGTTGGACTCAGAAGTATGTTTCACTGTTCTTCCCACTACTTCTTCCAGTCCTTTTTCTTTCACAGCACCTATTTGAAATCCATATCAATGCATCTTTCATCTGGTCTGGTATGCACTTATTAAATTATTGACTACTATAATATGAGCAGCTGGCTTCTTTATTTCTGCCCTGTGCCAGACAACATCCTCAGTAAATTCAGCCCTTAACTTTTACTTACAACACATCGAAATGCTGAAAGCATCATATTCTTGCATGGACAGTTTATTTCTGTCAATGATATCATTCCCTACTCTTTCCTGCACCTGGAACCAAAACTTTTCCTAATAAGTAACATAACTTACTGAGTCCTCAACCAAGTACTTTGAACTGGACATAAATATACCAACTGATATTTACCAAAGCATATAAAGTTTTACTGGTGTCACCATTTTACATGGTTTATGGGCACATATCTCATAATTAGTGGAACTGGATTTCATATAACACTCAAACTCTAGTGCTTCCTCAACCACTATGCTATCCTGCCATCTTTTTCCTTCTAGAGTGAAGGAAACATACTTGAGCAACAGAAGTGATCTGGACAAGGTTATGAAATGAAGGAAGCCAACACTACGGCACAGGAAGTGGAGTGCAGATCAAAGTATGATATATCAGAAAGTGTATCAACTACCTGGCAAACACACACACACTAGAAGACAAACTTCATTTAAAAATACTCACCTTTAATTCCTACACATTATTCTATTCAAACTTCAGGCACTATCTCTGAAAACCCTCTTCAAAATGATCACTTTTGATTTTCTATGGTCATTCTAGTTAGTTATCAACTGATTATCAGTCTTTTGTTTAGTTATATTTCAAGCTCCAAACTCATCTGCCACTTTGTCATAGTTTGGTGGCTTCTGTGTTGTTGTGAAGCCATCAGTATTTCAAACATCAGCAAGGCATCCATGGTGGAGAGGTTTCAACAGAACTTCCAAACTAAGACAGACTAGAAAGAAGGAAAGGTGGAACACTTCTGAAAGATTAGCCACTGAAAACCTTATGAATAGCAATAGAACACTGTCTGATATAATACTGGAAGATAAGCCCCTAAGATTGCAAGGCACTCAAAATATGACTGGAGAATAGCTGCCTCCTCAAATTAAGAGATGACCTTAATAAAAGGGATGCCACAAAGCTTTCAAGACCTCCATTTGTTGATGAGGCACAATTTAAAATAAGAAACAGTTGCAAACATCTATTAATAATTAGAAAGAGGAATGTACAAATGTATAAAGTATGAATCTAGGAAAATTGTAATCAGTCGAAAATAAAATGGAATGCATAAAGATCAGTATATTATGACTAGGCATTAGTGAGCTGAAATGGACTGGTACTGGCTATTTTGAATTGGACAATAATAGGGCTCACTATGCCACAATCAAAAACTGAAAAGAAATGACGTTGTATTCAACATCAAAAAGAGCATTTCAAGATCTATCCTCAAACACAGTGTTGTCAGTGATAGGATAACATCCATACATGTATAAGGAAGACCACAAGTTAATACCATTAGTATCCCAATTTAGGTACCAACCAATAAACCCAATGATGATTGAATTGAATAATTCTACCAACTTCTTCAGCCTGAAATCGATCAAAGGCAATCAAAATGCATTGATAATTACAAGTGAATGGAATGTGAAAGATGGAAACAAAGAGGAAGGATAAGTAGTTGGAAACTATAGCCTTGGTAATAGAAACAATGCTAGAGCTTGCATGATAGAATTTTGCAAGACCAATGATTTATTCATTTCAAATACCTTTTTTCAACAACATAAACGGCAATTATACACATGGAGTCCTGGTGTGGTACTGTAGGATAAGCACTGGACTGCTAATCATAAGGTCAGTATTTCAAACCCACCAGCAGCTCCTCTGAAACCCTATTAAAAGTCCTATGAGTCAGACTCGACTCGGTGATGCTTAACAACAATCAACTCGATTATGACTCATAAGGCCTTTTAATAGGGTTTCACCAGATGGAAAACTCAGGAATAAAATTGACTACATCTGTGAGAAGAGACTATGGAGAAGCTCAGTGTCATCAGCCAAAACAAGGTTGGGACTGAATGTGGACCAGGACATCAACAGCTCCTATGCAAGTTCCAAATGAAGGTGTAAACAAACGAAACAAAAGCTCACGAGAGTGACAATACAACCTTGAACATATCACACCTAAATTTAGAGACCACCTCAAGTACAGATTTGATACATTAGTCACTAATAACCAAAGATAAGAAGATTTGGGGGAGGACATCAACAACATTATACAGTTACTTCTGAAGTAAGCAAAAGGTCATTAAAAAGGCAGGAAAGCTAGAAAAGACAAAAATGGATGTCAGAAAAAAATCCAATAGTTGCTCTAAAATATACAGAAAAAAGTTAAGTGGAAGTAAAAAAGCTGAACAGAAAATTTCAGAGGACAAAGTAAAATATTATAATGAAATGTAAAAAGACCTGGAGTCTTCAGAAAAGCAAAAAGGAAGAACATGTTCAGCATTTCTCAAGCTGAAATAACTGAACAAAAACATTGTAAGTCTAAGGTTGCAATATTGAAGGATTCTATGAGCAAAATAATAAAGGAAGTAGGAAACATCAAAGGAAGATAGCGGGAAGAAAAAAAAAAGAAGAGGAAGAAATACAGAGTCACTGTAACAAAAAGAACTGGTCAACATTCAACCACTTCAAGAGGGAGCATATGATCAAGAACTGATGGTACTGAAGGAAGCAGTTCAAGCTATACTGAAGGTATTGGTGGAAAAACAAAGAAAGGCTCCAGAAATTCAAAGAATACAAATGTTCCAGCAAATGGATGTAAAGCTGGAGGTACTCACTCATCTATACCAAGAAATTGGCCAACCGATTGGAAGAGATCCATATTTGTGCTCATTCCAACAGAATTGGGAAATCATCCAACAGTATCATTAATATCAGATGCAAGTAAAATTTTGAAGATAATTCAAAACTGGC